TCCGCTATCCATTTATTCAAGATCGTTTTCTTCCGCTTCTATGTCCTGTGTCCCTTCAGGGCGTTGGCGATCATGGCCTCCACAATTTCCTGTCCTTGTAGCTCTTATCACTTTAACTTTTTTAACTCTCCTAAACCTTGTTCCGCTATCCATTTATTCAAGATCGTTTTTCTTCCGCTAAACCTGTGGTCCTGTGTCCCTTCAGGCGTTGGCGATCATGGCTCTCTTTAACTTTTTTAACTCAAACCTTGTCTAATTTCCGTCCTTTGTAGCTCTTAATAATTTTTAACTTTTTTAACTCTCCTAAACCTTGTTCCGCTATCCATTTATTCAAGATCGTTTTTTCTTCCGCTTCTATGTCCTGTGTCCCTTCAGGGCGTTAGCGATCATGGCCCTCCACAATTTTCCCCAGTCCTTTGTAACTCTTAATACTTTTAACTTTTTAAACTCTCCTAAACCTTGTTCCGCTATCCATTTATTCAAGATCGTTTTTTCCGCTTTATGTCCTGTGTCCCTTCAGGGCGTTGGCGATCATGGCCCTCCACAATTTCCCGTCCTTTTGTAGCTCTTAATAATTTTTAACTTTTTTTAACTCCTAAACCTTGTTCCGCTATCCATTTATTCAAGATCGTTTTTCTTCCGCTTCTATGTCCTGTGTCCCTTCAGGACGTTAGCGATCATGGCCCTCCACAATTTCCCGTCCTTTGTAGCTCTTAATAATTTTAATTTTTTTAAACTCTCTAAACCTTGTTCCGCTATCCATTTATTCAAGATTTTTTCTCCGCTTTATGTCCCGTGTCCCTTCAGGGCGTTAGCGATCATGGCCTCCACACCCCCCGTCCCTTGTAAATAATTTTTTTAACTTTTTTAACTCTCCAAAACCTTGTTCCGCTATCCATTTATTCAAGATCGTTTTTCTTCCGCTTCTATGTCCTGTGTCCCTTCAGGGCGTTACGATCATGGCCTCCACAATTTCCCGTCCTTTGTAGCTCTTATAATTTTTAATTTTTTTAAACTCTCCTTAAAACCTTGTTTCCGCTATCCATTTATTCAAGATCGTTTTTTCCCTTCCTTTATGTCCCCGTGTCCCTCAGGACGGTAGCGATTCCACAATTTGCCCGTCTTGTAGCTCTAATTTTAATTTTTTTACTCTCCTAAACCTGTTCCGCTATCCATTTATTCAAGATCGTTTTTCTTCCGCTTTATGTCCCGTGTCCCTTCAGGGCGTTAGCGATCATGGCCCTCCACAATTTCCCGTCCTTTGTAGCTCTTAATAATTTTTAACTTTTTTAAACCCCAAACCTTGTTCCATATCCATTTATTCAAGATCGTTTTTCTTCCCGCTTCTATGTCCCGCCCTTCAGGACGGTAGTGACTGCGGCCCTCCACAATTTCCCGTCCTTTGTAGCTCTTAATAATTTTTTAACTTTTTTTTTGCTCTCCTAAACCTTGTTCCGCTATCCATTTATTCAAGATCGTTTTCTTCCGCTTCTATGTCCTGTGTCCCTTCAGGACGTTAGCGATCATGGCCTCCACAATTTCCCGTCCTTTTGTAGCTCTTAATAATTTTTAACTTTTTAAACTCTCCTAAACCTTGTTCCGCTATCCATTTATTCAAGATCGTTTTTCTTCCGCTATGTCCTGTGTCCTTCAGGGCGTTAGCGATCATGGCCTCCGCCAATTTCCGTCCTTCCTTCAGGAATAATTTTAACTTTTAAACTCTCCTAAACCTTTGTTCCGCCATCCATTTATTCAAGATCGTTTTCTTCCGCTTCTATGTCCTGTGTCCCTTCAGGACGGTAGCGATCATGACAATTTCCCGTTTTGTAATAATTTTAACTTTTTTAACTCTCTAAACCTTGTTCACTATCCATTTATTCAAGATCGTTTTCTTCCCCTTCTATGTCCTGTGTCCCTTCAGGACGTTAGCGATCAAATCCTGGCCCTCTGTAATTTCCCGTCCTTTTTGTAGCTCTTAATAATTTTTAACTTTTTTTTTTAACTCCTAAACCTTGTTCCGCTATCCATTTATTCAAGATCGTTTTTCTTCCTTCTATGTCCTGTGTCCCTTCAGGAATTTGACGATCATGGCTCCACACTTTCCAGACCCTTCCTTTAATAAATATGTCTCTTATATCTCTCCTGAACCTTGTTCCGCCCTCCATTTATTCAAGCTCACTAAATTCTATAGTTTCCCTTCAGGGTGTCTCTGTCTATATCTCTGAGGTATTATGATTAAATATGTTATTTAGGTTATTCGGACTGTTATCCCCATCTTCATTGCCATATTCACAACATTTCGGCCGTTGTATTCTGGTCTCTCTTCAGGTGATTGAAATTTCAAACCTAACCCTTTATTCCGTCCACTGGGGTAGATATTGTCCTAGTTCCACGTGCCATGCCTCTCCTGGATGTCTCACTTATTTCCCTTTAACTCTACTCTCCAAGTTTTTTGGGTTCACCACTGCTGTGGCCTGGTATTGAATTGACAACTCTTTGGGTCTAGTCACTGGATCTAACCAGCGTCTTTATCCACTGGGCCATGTCTCCTTGAGGACAATCCCCCGAAGAAGGCCGGATCGTACAACGGCCGAAACTTTGTGAATATGGCAATGAAGATGAGGTTAACAATCCGAATAATGTAAATAATCTAAGTAATCTTTTGTCCCTCTTGCCTTCAACCTGTCCTCTGAGTATCAGATTTTCCAAGCCTGCTTTTTTCATTATATGACCTAGAATTTCCAACTGTCTTTTCTTGATATTAAGTATAAGTTTCCTTTTTGTTTACATTTTCTCTAAAACCTCGTCGTTTGCTCACATGTTCGGCCCATGGTATCATCAGCATCTCTCTGTAAAACGACATTACTGTTGCTTCAAGTCTCTTCTTCATCTTTGAGAAGATTGTCCTGCATTCACTGCCATATAGGAGCAGTGATAACACGTATCAGTTCAGTACCTTTTTCATTGTTTCTATGTTTAACGGACTTGTTACCAAAGACGAGAAGCCTTTATTCCCATCAATATACATCGCAAATTAACTTTTTTAAGTAACGTTGAGCCTAGTCAGTACCTAGATGGGTGACCGGTTAAGAATCACAGGTACTGTCAGCTTGCCGGAGTGCGTGCAATGGCTTATGGCCATATCATGTTGAAACACCGGTTCTCGTACGATCACTAAAGTTAAGCAACGCCGAGCCAGGACAGTACCTAGATAGGTGACCGCTTGGGGATACCTGGTGCTGTAAGCTTGGATGTCTGGGTGGGTGTAATGGTTTACGGTTCAAAATTAGAAATCGTGGAGCCGAGTGGGAATTCCAGTCTTTATATAAATTTATATACCTTATATTTATATTAAATACCCTCGGTAAATATATGGAGGTAGTTCCAAGTCTTTCCCAAAGTACCTCACATTCGCTTTTCATAAGGTAGTATTCATATAAAATACAAATTTTATTGTAACCTAATTATGTACAATAATGGATCAGATGCAATATGGGTGAACAATTCAACTAGGAAAGGTGAAAATAAATACAATGTATCTAAATCCAAAACAGAGACTCTTAAATAATAGATCATTCCATCTTAAATATATCCACAATGTTTCGTGGCAATTTTTAACATCAATTTGGGATCTTAATTTGAATAATTTTAGCACATACAACATTATTTTAATATATTTTATTGTTATTATATATAAACAAATATTTAAGTAAATGCTCTGTTTATAATAAACATATTAATAACATTTACCGGCCTGAACGTCCGGGAAATTTCATAAAATATATGCGTCTTCCAACAGGAATCGAACGTGTATCCTACACGGAACTGTCATATAGCCTGACGTGCTATACCAATTTAGCTACGAAGGAGTGCTTGGTTAGCAAGGTCGATTTTACTGCTTTTAAACTACAATTTTGCCATGATTTCCCTCGAACGTCCATATCTGCTCGAAGCGTATCTTAAAGTAAACAAATGACGTCACACTCTACGAAATGGACTGAGTCCGACAATTATTTTTATATATTTTATTGTTATACGTTAGTGAGGTATACACAAATATTTAAGTAAATGTCCTGTTTGCAATAAACAGTATTAACAACATACATTATGTTATGTATTAACATACAACATAAAAAATAGTGTTTTTTCGACACTTAGCATGAGCAAAACGAATTCACGGATTTGGACGGAAAACATTTTTCATCCCTTAATCTTAAATTTGTATCCTCCAGTTTGGCTTAATTTAATTTGTAGCGTATAAAAATGTAGGTAAAAACAAATGCAAATGTTGATAAAATAGCGAGGGTTGTAAAGCATTGCCCGAGGGTCGCCTAATCAGGTCTGCAACGCCCCAGGTAGGACTTTTCGAGGGTAGTACACGCCGATCAAAAATCTATTCGACTGAATCAGAATTTTGACGTATTTAATAGATTGTTGTGAAATTGTTCTATTGTAAATAATTTGCAATGCATTTCTATAATGAAATAATTTTCAATTAAACAGACGCTTTTCGGTGTCAGTTTATATCTAATCATTAAAAGGATTAATATTTTCTCATCTTTCTGTCGCTTTCTTTATTACCCGACTCTTGTTTTTTTGTTTTTTTATCTATCTGTTTATCTTTCTTTTCTTTTGTTTAATGTTTTGCGGCCTTCAGTTGCCTCCTTTTATTCGCTGTAATTACCTTACAATAAACCAGGAGAATGGATAAACATCAACCCATAAACCAAATTCGTTCCTAAAAAAAAAAGGTTTTATACAGATAAATCATTTGTTTTAAGCGTATCTCCTTCAGATAATAACGAAGACCGGTCATTTAAATACCACGGAACAAAAAGGACTAATCACTTCCTACATTTTTTTTTTCCTACTCAGAAAAATTAATTCTGTGCCAATCCAATTTGCGTAAAGCCGCAGCATTTCATTTACTTTTATGAATCGGCGTCACTGCTTCTTATTTGAGGAATTCTTTTAAAGGAATTTCTTTAACCCTTCATTGTTTATGTTTCGAGTACGAAAATAAAGCGAGAAGAGATAGATAGATAGATAGACAGTATGACATAGATAGATAGATAGATGGATAGACAGTATGGCATAGATAGATAGATAGATAGATAGATGATGGATGACAGTATGACATAGATAGATGAATGAATGTGACATGATAGATAGATAGATAGACAGTATGGCATAGATAGATAGATAGATAGTATGACATAGATAGATAGATAGATAGTATGACATAGATAGATAGATGGATAGACAGTATGGCATAGATAGATAGATAGATAGACAGTATGACATAGATAGATAGATAGATAGATAGATAGACAGTATGACATAGATAGATAGATAGATATATAGTATGACATAGATAGATAGAAAGATAGATAGATAGATGGATAGATAAATAGTATGACATAGATAGATAGATAGTATGACATAGATAGATAGATAGATAGATAGATAGATAGATAGATAGATAGTATGACATAGATAGATAGATAGATAGACAGACAGTATGACATAGATAGATAGATAGATAGATAGATAGATAGATAGATAGATAGATGAAAAGACCCACATAGAATGATAGCTTCATAAATAAATAGACAATCAGACATGGAATGATAGATAGAATTATAAATAGATTGATGAACTGTCTGAGATAGATAGATAGATAGATAGATAGATAGATACATACATACATACATACATACATATTGATAGATAGATGAAGTCAGAAAGAGATAGATATATTTATGAATAGGTAGATGTACAGATATAGAATGATATATAAATAACAGAACAGTCTGACATAGATGAACAGACATAGATAGATAGATAGATAGATAGATAGATAGATAGATAGATAGGTGAAAAGACATAGAATGATAGATAGATTTATAAGTTTATAGATAAACAGACAGACATAGATATTTTTGTATCTGAATAATATGAGCATCAACTCGATAAATAGAGATTGCTTTGAACAAATTCTATTAAATGATGTAAAAATCAAAAAAAAAAAAAATATAATAAAATAAAATAAAAATAAAATAAAAACCAAAAAAAAACCCGAAAAATCCAGAATCGACTCTTGACACCGAGTATTTGGGGGCAATTAGATTTCCCATGCAAGACATACAAATCCAGCCACTCAAAATCTTTTCCCCGCTAAGATTTCTCTCTGTTAATGTTTGCTTTAGCTGCTACTTCTGTTTGCCAGATAGAGGAAGGGAAGGTAGATAGCGAAATAATTATTTGCTTGATTTAAATGTTATCGCTATCGATAGAGTTGTTTCTTTTTTGCTCCTAAAAATCAAATAGAATCGATGTTTTTAAAAACTGACATTTTTTTGCGCTCCCTTGTCTCTTGTTGATAATTTAATGTTTGTAAAATTCCTTTGCGTTGATTGGGGTCTGACAAACAAGGCATTAGTTTCATACGAAAATTACTCAGGCATCTGTGTCCGGTAGGTAACTTAAAATAAAAAACAGACACGTAACCCACTTGTCAAACGAAATATGCAACACCCCCTTTTCATTTTTTTTTAAATGACACTTTAAGAAATGTATTTGGAATGAAAGAAATGCCATAATTATTTACATTCAGTTCATATCTTTGTTATCATGAATGCCATTACTAGAGAAAGAAAGGGAAACGATTAATGTTAGCTTCAGCATCCCGACTCCAGAGTTTCGTAGACTGTCCACTCGACCGGGGGTATCAGCAGTTGATTGCTTATAATTCTCTAGTTTTCTTTTACACACACACACACACACACACACACACACACACACACACACACACACATATATACACTGTCTATGCATGACTGTATATATATATATATATATATATATAGTCATGCATAGACAGTTTCGCTGTATCATTCAGTGAGACTAGACGTCCGATTGCTTGAAGCCGGGATCGAAACCCGACTGATTCTACATCAGCCAGAAATCTTACCTCTTGGATCATCGTCGTAGAAAGGAAGGGAATTTTAACATTTTTCCTATACGAAATACGTCAGCGGCTCTGAGATCTCAATTAAATTTACTATATATATATATATATATATATATATATATATATATATATATATATATATATATATATATGTCGGACGAAAACTTCGTCAGGCTTATTCAACTCCGGTGTATACTGATGTAGTTTTTTGTCGGTTGAAATAGATCTATCTTCCATATGAGGTAGTTTAGGATTTTGTTATGTAACTCTATTTATATGATCTGTTATAATAAATACATTGAGCTCTTTTTGTGGATACGTTTTACTATATTACTAGGATCAACTTGGATCATATAGCAACGGATTTATTACCTGTACTATTATACATGCATATATATATATATATATATATATATATATATATATATATATATTCGGTGTAGAGTATACAATCAAATTCCGGAGTAAATAGAGTACTTTTCCCACGGTAAGGCGGCTAAAATATGTTAAAGATATTCATGTCTATAAAGCTTTTAAGTAAAACTAAAAAAAAAAAAACAAAGGTTTTAATAATTTTAGGCAGAAGTGAGAATAGTAGATGACTCAAGATTCGGCACCAGATATACGGAGCATCAACAAAAGATGTACAATAACTGCATGTATGGCTCAATTTTTAAAGAATCGAGTTTTATGATGTAAGCTGAATCTCTCTCAATCTCCTATGATTATTTTTTAATTCGTTTTAATGCAGACCATATCATACGTGTAAAATCCTCGTTACCAAACGGCTATCAATAACAATGAAAGACGATATTTATATGTATAAAAAGCCCGCTTGGAATAAATATCATTGTCATCGCATAACATGATCTTTGATTTCATGTTTTGATTATATTCACGGTATCACGATCCCTTTTGATATCTCATACAAAAGTTGTTCAAAGAAAAGGTGCATGTCTTGTGTAGATAAAATAGAATAAACCTTTCTTTGATTTCTCGCAAAACCCCTAACATTTCTTCAGATATATTTTATTTCTGAGTTTGATCACGAAAGTTTTTATTATTGCTAACTACGAGACAGATTAAGTTACGCCATGTTTCTTTTATTTTTCATTAAATACACGCGACCGAAATCAGACGACATTTTCGACAGCCATATTTGAATATCAAATGCCGATATTTACGGCGGCTAGGAAGAGGTAGAATTAAAAGAAACGATTATAAAAATAGTGAAATATACACTTTGTGTTTTATTTTATGGACATTTCTCCTATCTTGTTTTGCCTAGTACTTCTTGATTCTCTTTTTTTCTTTTTTTTTTTTTATTGGCAAACTTGGACATTTGTGCCCGATAAAAAATGGAGTATCAAAAAGGCGGGTTTCCATTAACAACGCTATTATTTTAAATACCATCACTCCTCGGCAACGTTTATTGTTTTAAAAAGCGGCGATTAGAATTTTAATAAAACCTAAACATAAGATGGAAGTGAATTTATACATTTTTTTTGTTCTTGGAAATTTACAACAATATTAAACACTATTTATTTATTATATTATTTATTTACAAGACTCATTTTATATCTACAACATTCTATGCAATGCAATATTTATCATTTACCAGTTTATAAAGAAATAAATATGTTTTATTCAAAGATTGATAAACATTCAGTACATTATTAAAATATGTGAACCAACAATAATGAAATCCTTATTATTTATCGTTTTATAAAATTCGAATCACTTGGCAATTAGCCAATGTTTTGTCAACAATTCCACTTAAAAATATTAAAATTGGTTTGTTTAAACAATCTAATTGTGCTCATAAATTTTTTGTCACTTTTCAAGAACAAAGCCAGTGTATAAATTAACGTTCATATGTTTGGGTTTTATAAAAATTCTAATCATCTCTTTCTTTTTAAATAATAAACATTGCCGAGGGAGTGAAGGTAATCAAAATAATAGCGGTGTCAAGGAAAAACCGTCCTTTTGACAAATTGTTTTTTGTGGGCACAAATATCCATGTTTGCCTTTCTTGTCAATGTTCTCAACAAAAATAACAATTTCATTTCAACATCATCTTTTCTCAGTGAACCTCCTTCGATTAAAGACATATTTCAAAACGATCCCTAATGTCAAATAGGAGCATATAAAATAAATATTCCACTCCACATTTTTAGTGAGACAAATGCAATGTAATTATCTCAGATTTTACGAGTACGATAATAATTCATGTATCATCTGTAATATTCGCTGAATGCTTTTATGGATTTTTTTACTAATTGTTCACTTAATTCAAGGCCCAAGTGTCACTCAAGGTAGATGATTATTGAATGAGGTTGTTGTATGAAAGTAAAATCAGGACGTAAGTAGTGCAAATTCTTAGAAAGATAACGGTTGAACCAAGAAACGGAGAAGCTAAAATTGGAGTGAACTGGGAAGCATTCTCTCGGGAGTCTGTTGTACAAATTAGCGGTTCCTAGGAAGAAGCTGTCCAGATGGAACTTCTTTTTTAATAATGGAATACGAAAGGAATGTGGATGATTCGAGCCAATTGTACGTGATATAGAGTTTGGTACGAAGGTTTAAAATGGTGGAACTAATGCTTGTAGCATATCAGGACATTTGCCATGGAAATAGCGATAGAGAGATGCTTAGCTGTAAAGGTCTGAACTGGTGGAACTAAAGAATGTAGCTTATCAGAACATTTGCCATGGAAATAGCGATAGAATAGAGAGAGGCTTAGCTATAAAGGTCTGAATTGAGAGAACTGAAGATTGTAGCGCTCCAGAACATTTCCCATGTAAATAGAGATAGAGTAGAGAAAGGCTTAGCTTTAAAGGTCTAAACTCGTGGAACTAACGGATTTAGCTTATCAGAACATTTGCCATGGAAATAGCTATAGAGGCTTAGCTGTAAAGGCCTGAACTGGTGGAACTAAAGAATGTAGTTCACCTGAACATTTGCAATGAAAATACCCATTCAGTATCGAGAGTTTTTTCAACATTTATTCTTTGGGGAAAAGAGATATATAATGTAATATCACCCCGAAGGCCGCGTAAGACGTTTTTGAAATCCATATAAGCTGGAAAATGGCTCCATCTTAATAATACCCTATTTTTTTTTTTTGGTGTTGGGGAGGGGGAGATTTTGTATTGATTTTTTTTTTTTTACTTTACTAAACTAACGAGTTTTAAAACGAAAAATATATATATATATATATATATATATATATATATATATATATATATATATATATATATATATATATATATATAAAGAGAGAGAGAATTAAATTACAGTCTTTACTATTTATAGTCATCGTAAGCTTTAAATGTAGGTTTGTAACATCTTATTTAATGTAATGTAATCTCTAGGTATTTTCAGACAGCCTGTCATTCATATTTAAAAACCTGATAATATGCCATTAAAGAAATTTCCAGACAAAAAAACCTCTGCTTAGTATGTACATCATTTACAGTCCTGCGAAACAACTGACGCTGGTACCCGTATTCGACGATGCCCGTCTACTAGAGCAGATAGACAATCCCTATTGCAGACGCTCGCTCAGGCATATTTTGTGTTTGTTCAAAACCCACGGAGGCTACCCGTGGTTTATACTGCAACTATGCTGATCAGACCTTAGTTCCAGTTTCTGGGAGAGAGCTTGTTATCTAGAATGATCAACAACCAGCACACTCAAATCCTCGGTCACGATGGCTTGTGACTTCGTGCTAGGACAGCTACCGATGGTCCCCCAAGTGTTTCGTCGACCCAGTTTCACTCACAAGGCTTGGGCCAACCCGTGGTATGGTTTTTCAGGCACTTTCCAAAGGTGCCGCACGCTGGGATCGTTCCCCCCGAGACCGATAACATCAGGAAGTCTCCTTCCTGACAAATCGACCATGGTGAGATTCG